AATCACCACACGTGCCTCATAACAAAAAACTAAATATACATTTTTTTGTCCGTGTGTATCGAACTATACATCTTGTTGGCATGAATCGTGGCCAATTGTTTATAGCTTAGGTAACGGGCTTTGCTCAATAATATTGTGACTTCTGAACCATTCTTTGAGACTCATATCTGAGTAAATACAAATTATGTATCGAAATAGGTGATTCAAAATATGAGATTTACATAAAATTTACTTGACTTTAAAAATGAAACCATTAAAATGTTACTTGACATTCAATATTTACAGAGATGTGTTGGCGAGGTCTCAAATTCAAAAAAATGTTATGGAGTAATAAAGATATGGAAGAAAAGAAAAACTGAGTATCCCAAATTACAACATGTTAGAAAATCATTTGGAGGATGAACGCTGCGTTGATAGTAAGATGAACGAAGAAACAGATGAATTACGACTTGATAGTTTAACAAATCGTGTAAATGTTTTCAGATCAAAGTTATTTTGGGGCATACCAAAATACTTTAATCGAATAAGTCGTTAATCAAAAGCAGGCACTTCGAATTCTGTACACAACCATACCCATCGAGACTCTTTTTATAGAGTTGACATGATTACATGAACGTTCGCATAAGGAAGTGAACGTTCGCGCGTCAGGGATAGAACCGAGCTTTGCTTAAGGGCGCAAGTGTTCGCACGAATTTACTTTCGATTATTGACGTTTATCTGTACGTCCGAATCTTTAAGATTTCTGACTCCGTCCGATTTTTGACTTCGGCCAAGGGCTCTGCACCTTAGACCCCGTTACCGGCCCATACCCCGCTATAAATTTGTAATTTGTAGAACGAGCGTGCACTCCGCACTTCCTAACTCATTTGATAACATCTATTCATGTTCTTTTCTGGTCTAAGTAAATTCAATCGCACAAAATAACAGTTGACACTAAAATCATGAACACAACCCACATTTGAATTTGGAATAGTAGGAATACTACAAACTCAATTTCATAGTTGAAAATAAAGTATTATTAGAAAATGTATAATTCCAAAACTGAATATAAGGTGTACTATGAGAAATGATCTAATAAAAGTCCTATGATCTTTCATGATGTGAAATCCTTGTGCTTGTTGCACAGTTGCATTGCACATGCCCCTTTAATCATGCAAGTGTGTCTTTGACTTTTTTTTATTTTGTTCAATATTTTTTTTTACATAAAGATTTTTGCCTTTTATTGAATGGAGCTGTATTTCATTCATGACCACAATTAATTTGACAGATGGGATTTTTTAAAATTGAAGGGTCATTTTTTCTTGGACATTTTGGTAGGGAGGTATTGACAATTATTGCAAAATGCCAGTTTCTATTCAAGCAAAGGCATGCATTTGATAATGGTGGGCCCAGCTGTTGGAATTAAATTCAGTCAAATGGACAGCTAAATTTGAGTTTCATGAAGACTAGAGTGAGCACCCATGGGTACATGGAAGTCTCCAAATATGGGGTCCAACATAATGAAATAATCTCAATGTCCTAAGTTTTTTTTCTAGTGGTTTTCTACCCTCTTTTTTACTCCAACGTGGAGTAGTTGTTTATTTTGACTTTAAGTATTGTATTCTAATTAGTTTTGTAAGAAAATAAAAAATGAATTAAAATGGAGGTGGTGCAATACAATATTTGGGCCCGACTTGAAAAGCCCAAAAACACAAGATCACAACAAAGCAACAACACTCCATCGGTATTTGTGTTCCACCACCTCAGCACTCAGCGAGATAATTGGCTCAACCACTCAGCGAGACAAACAGCCACATCTAGCCTCATGGCCCCACTCAACCCCTATGGTCTATGATCTGACACCCAAACTCAGAACACAACCACGGGCCTATTTTGCATAACTCGCGGTTGGCCTGTCCTCCGCTCAGCTTTGGCCTGCGAGAGAGGTTTAGGTCTTTGAAAATTTTGGGAGGCACATACGATTTTTAGACATTTATGTCCAATCGATTGGGCCTATGAATAGACAAATATCCATTTGTATAATGTATCTGTATAGCGTATGTACCAAAATAATACACGCACATGTATAGACAACATATTCATGTACCTTCGTAGTACGTAATAAGGGGCCCCATGACATATGGGTCTTGCGGTCTTGCCCATTGCAATAGTTACATGATAATTATATAGGACACTGAGTAAATGTAAATATTTTCTCAAATTCATGGGAAAGGGGAGCCTATTATCAATAATCTCGCAATAGTACACATGAATACTCACATTGAATTTCAGTAGTTTGTTCTTAGTTCTTCTTTGTCTAGTTTATGTTTGGCCTAGATTTCTATAACTCATCAACCAGATTCCTATATAAAATTGCTCAAACCAGTTGACCCATCAAACTTGGAGAACCAGATTGACCCGGACAACTTATGGATTTTAGGATATTTAACCTATATACAAGGCCGGTCCCGAGAATTTGATGGCTTGGGCCGAGACAAAAAAAAAGCCCTAAGATCTTTATCTTTATTGATTGAACGAATTAAAGTGCGTAAAATAATTACATTTAAATGATAATTAATATACTAGTATTATAAAAAAAATTGAGTAAATAAAAAAATCATAATAAGGATTTATATCTACTTACGTCCCCAAACCAATGCCTTGAAAACAAGATCAAATATTGACTTGGACGAGCTAGTAGGTCAAGGGTTAAATCAGTCGACCTGGGGATCAACGACTCGATCAACTATAATTAAAAAAATATTTTATATTATATTATTAGATGTCTTTAACTAATAAGGAATTTTAGTTTGTGTTTTTCACTCTTCCATCTTGTTTTCAATATATCGTTGCATATACTGTTACACTTTTTATTCCTTATTTGTATTATTTTCTCATCATTATTAACGATAAATAATGAATGTCTAATAAATAATCAAATAGTGTTAGGCAATACTCATATTTTAAAAAGTAAAGACTTGGTAATGTGTTCTTATATACTCCGGTAATACTTTGTAATTTGTATGTAATATGTTACACTTATATTTATTTGATTGAAACGAGAAAAAGTAAAAGAAAAAATCAATTTTAATATATTAAAGAATAATTAATAAATATTTCTTAATTTTTGTTGATGACAATAATTTTTTATGTATTTATTTTTTGAAAAAAATATTTTTAGGTATAAGTATTCAAATTAATTTTTAGATAAATCACAAAAATTTTAATTATTTTTTGAACTATGTTTCTTTTTCTAAACAATTGAAAGTTTTAATGAAATGAAAATAGTTGATCTATATTCTTTACTACGTGGAACGTGGAACAAGAAGTGTAATAGCTTAGTGGATGAAGCTTCTCCACTTTGTGCCACCCAAGTTCAACTTTGCTTAGGATTAGGATTTTAGTTTATAGTTTATTTATTAGCTAAAAGTACATTTTTTTATAAAAATTTGGGCCCTTAAAATCTTGGGCCCAGTCCAGTAGGGCTGCTCGGTCCAACCCCAGGCCGGCCCTGCCTACATATACCCTTAATTTTTTAAAAATTTACAAATTATATTCTCTCAATCTCTCTCTCTAAGAGAGGTGTATTCAATCCAGATTTTATAAGATTTTGATAGATTGTTTAGAATCTGTCGATTCTGTAAAATCAATGGATTATTTAGAGTTTACGCAGAGTTAGTGATGGCTATAAACCACCGAGTATATCAAACAATATAAGTTTTAGAGAGAGGGAATGCAAAGTAGGAGTATATTGACCTAGAATTTGGATCCATTACAATGAGGGGTCTCACCCCTTTTATAGGGGATACAAATACATTTAGTCAAAGCCCTCTGATCGAGGTTCGTCGGCTAGCGGACGTCACCTGTCCCATGGTCTTGTCCCTTTCATTCTATCGCTATCGCTTGGTCAACGTGGCCGGTCGCTGTCCTCCCGTCGCTGTCATACACCCGAGCCGAGCCCTGGAACCAACAGAGCTCGTCGGCTGATCCGAGCCCGTGGGCCGAGCACGGTGTTCTTCCACGTGGCTGAGGGGTCCAATCTGACATGTATTTGGGGTCATCCTCCATCAGTTAGATAGATTTTACAGTATTTTATCACGAGATTTCATAAGATTCTAGTAGATTATTTGTAATCCATGGATTATTTATTCTTTTAAAAATTCATACATTACACTAACATTAATTATATTTATGAAATTGATCAAAAACTAAAAATAATATAATAAAATGAAAATAAATTATTTTTTTAAATATCATTATCATTATTATCAATTTATTAGCACAGAATAATATATTGATCATTGTCATAAACAATAAATTTGTTTTTAAACACAAAGCATTATTGTCTCTAAATTATTTTTCATAAATGTAAAACTTTATCAATAAAAAAATAAAAGACAATACAAATGATATAAGAAATTACTTAAAAACTCAAATAAAAATTAAAAATAAAGTTATTAAATAATATATCTCTCTCTTGCTATCACTTCTTCTTTTATTTATTGATTACCAAGGAAAAAGCATAATTTCTTTTAAATAAGAATAAAGTATATTTAACAAGCAAAAATCAAAATATGAGTATGTACAACAAAAATATAATACAAAACTAAAATACTTCCTCTGTCCACCATAGATCTTCCCAGACACTATTCACAGGGTCAAACTTTACTCACTTTGTTTGCTCATTTTTAGTAGTCATATCATAAAATAATATAGTCTTGTCACCTCTAGTTTTATAGAACTTTTCATGTAGTTTATTACTATATAAATTTTATTTTAAAATTTTACTCCTATAATCAATTAAATTGAATTGAAAATAAAGTCGGTCAAGCCTCGTAACGCATAATGAGAAGATCTTACATGGACGGAGGGAGTACTAGTGTATATGAACCATAAAAAAATATTAAACCAAACATATTTTAGAACAACTTAATAAACCACAAGTACCCAAAAACAATTTAATAAACAAAAGTACTCTTAACTCTCAACGAAAATAAATTCAAATAACATATTTAAAATAAAGTCACATAATCCTTTCATTCATCCTAATATATGTTCTCATTTTATCCTCTCATCTTGTGGTGTATCCACTTTAACCGTTCTTCAGGTGACATCTTCAAAAAGACATCTTTTTTTCCTTTGTTATCAAGCAACTCAATTGCCTTAAACTGGGTATCCTCATCTAAGCCCGGCGTATCCTTGATGGCATCCCAAATTGTATATTCTCTCTCTCTTTCTCTTTTCTCTAGCAGACTATAGATTCTTTTGAAACTTGTAGATATTTCGTCTAGCGTTTCCAAGACACCACTTCCTTCATATGTACTTCTATTTCTTTTGGTTTGTGTTATTTTTTGCATGGGAATCTCATGACATTTAGGAGATAAGAGCGTTGATGTGGAGGAAAAAGGTGGGTCACTTTGAGGTTGGCTTATGAATGCATCATTTTCCAAGTCATAATCAAAGCCATCTATATGCACATCTCTCCCTTCTTCCGCGCCTAATGTTCTTGCATCGGTTGTACTACCTAACTCAATTGAGTTTTTTCCAACAGCTACACCATTACCAATTGCGATTTCCAAGTCCTCATAATCCTGAAATTTTCCATAGCGTAATTTGTTGCTATGCTTTGGATGAGCCTATAAAACAACATAAAAAACAAATTTATTATTGCATTACATCTTTCAAAAGATTTATTTATTCAAATAATTTGTCATATAATATACTTACCTTGAAGTAATCCGCCCATACTTCATCAGTGGCAGTGAACATCTTTGTAGTAGAGTCAAACCCAAAACCAGAGCTAAAACGCATAAGCTCTGAATAAGCGTTCCATTTATTTTTAAACCATTTCAATCTGCTTTGGTAATTGAGATAGTTCTTGTTACACCCAAGTCTTTTATTCAGCTCAGGAAGTATCCGCTCTTCCACTATTTGCTTAGAAAAAATACCACTATTATCACGCCATCCCCGAGTAGTGGCATCTACCATGAGCTCTAAGAGTACATCACTTTCTTTGGTTGTCCATTGCTCATATCCTCCTTTTTTCTTGGTATCTTGTTGTTGATCACTCATGATGATATTACTATTAAAGTAAAAAAAGAAAGGAGTATATATAAAAATGCATAAAATTATAGCATAAATTAAAGAGTATCCACTGTTTAAATGCATGCTCTACCAACTAATGAGTAACTTCAATTCTAGTTCAACCAAAGTCCACTGTTTTTGTTTCCATATTTTCACACTCTAATGATTTTTCTCCTTAACTCCCATAAAATAAGTTGCACCAAATAGGAAATAAAAGAAGAGAAAGTAACCCTTGTAGTAAACTCTAATTGCAAAGTAACAGGGGTATTTTTTGGCACCCACTACACTCATTATTATGCTCCATTATTTTTCCTATGAATTTCTTCCATTAAAGCTTAACCAAATTGGGACTGTAAATTGGGGCTAAAAAATCGGGGCTAACAATTCCCTGTGAATTGTTTACAGAGACAGTGAAAACATCTGTAAAAACAGAGAATTGCATTGTATGTGAACAAATTTGCAGTCTGTTTTTGGAAAAAAAAAAAAGAAACAATTATTTGGAGAACCAAAATTACTCTTTGTTTATTCTAATCTTCCAAAATTACTTTAGAAATTCATTGGGGATAGACTGTGAAGGCTTGAGGACGATGGTGGAGAAGAGAAAAACCTGGACGGACGGAGGAGGAGATCGAGAAGATTTGCCGAAGAAGAGAAGCGCCGCAGGACTGCAGGAGGAGACCGGGAAGGAGGCGGAAGAAGAGGCTTTTGGATTCCAAACAAAATCCCTTGCCCTTTTTTCTTATTTGGAAAAATCTTTTTTATTTATACTTCAGCCTAAGAATCTATCATAATCCATTTTTTGTAACAATCCTTGAAAATCTATAATTTTTTCAATATCATTAGATTTGTAGAAAGACTTTTTAAAATCTCAATTGAATACCTCTAAATTTTAAATGATTTTTTAAAATCTCAATTGAATACTCATTTACTTTTAAAATCCAAAAAAATCCTACAAAGTCTCAATTGAATATCCATTGACTTCTAAAATCTAAAAAAATCCTACAAAGTCTGGATTTGGGCCCTTAAAATCTTGGGCCCGGTCCGGTTGGGCTACTCGGCCCAACCCCAGGCCGACCCTGCCTACATATACCCTTAATTTTTTAAAAATTCACAAATCATATTCTCTCAATCTCTCTCTCTCTAAATCTTGAATTCTTCTCAATTCTCAATATAATTATTATATAATTTTAATTATATATTCATATATTCAAAAAGCCAGAACCAGTACTGGAACCACCGCTAGCACCGTCTAATCTGTCACCGGTAACTCTCCCATGAGGTGGCGGTACCGGCACCAGCGGTTCTGGAATTGGAACCGTACCGTGTCCACCCCTAAAGAGAAGTGATTTTACTCTGTTTGGCATATCAGCTGCTTTTTTTCTCCACGATTATTTTGTACATAGAATATCGTTTTGGAATAGCAGTTATGAAATGTTTTTGCTTTCACTTTTTGCGGAAATTAACCTTATCTACAAGTTAATCACTTCCAAATACCTTCTATATGCGTGTTATGTGTATGTCCCTCAATTTCCCTTATTTTAATCTTTTGACTATATATTTTGTGCAGGACCAACCCAAAAATGTAAGAAAATGAGATTGATCTTGTACAAGATTTATGTGTATGACCTTATTTTATTTTTTTAGAGTACAAGTGCTTTAAATTTAGTGCATAATTTGGTTTTTAATTACCACATTTATAACAATTTGAATATGAAAATATACATTTATATTAAATTTAAAAATAACAAGTAATTAGATTAATAGAAAATAACAATATGATCCTCTAAATATTTGGAGTCTTGTGTGGTGAATGAACACCTTGCATATCCTTCGAGCCTAATGAGGTCTAAAACACTTACGGATTACGGAGTAATAATCTCATGCATAGAAGATTATTTTCTCCATCACAATTTGTTATCCCAGTCTTCAATTTGATTGCAAATTGAGATTTACGAGAAAAAATATTTCATTTTTTGAAATTATTTTATTTACAAATCAGTGTATCGATAAAAAAACAAAAATTAAATATTAAAAAGCTACGTCAAAAGTTCTACCAAACAAAAGGTGACAAGAATATGTTATTGTATCAAAGACTTAATGAAATCGCATAAACAAACAAAAGTTATCGAGAAGAGAGGAAAAAAAAATTGTAATCAAATTGGGGACGAAGAGAATATATATTTAACACAAATATTAATAAAGTGAAAAGTATAATATACGATTGTAAGAACATCTTTAGTGGAAAAAACTCAAAACACAAGCATTTTGTATCTTAAATGGTCCTTAGAGTGTCATATCATCAAAACAGCTTCATAAGCAATTCACTCATATTTTATTCTAATGGTAAATATATATAAACGACTCACAACTTATTATTATTCCTATTTCATTAAAAATGATTTTTCTCCACTAAATTTTATTAGTTGTTATTAAAATTTTTAATATCTTAAGATAATGGTCCTTATATCTAAGCAAATTTGTATGTCACGTAGATTAGCTCTAATGAGAGTTTTCCTTCAGATGCAATTACTTAAGCTAAGTAACTCCGATCATCAAGCATTCACCATTAAAGATGCCCTAAATTTGTAACTTAGCTTCTTTATTAAATGTTTTCCTTATTTGATTGTTCATGGTCTCCATTGCTGCATTTTAACCATTAATATATATATTTATATACATAGATATATTTGATGAAAATTTAATATTTCAAAGCTACATTTTAATAGAAATATATAGATATTAAATTTATATCATGATACCATGTATTTTTTCACATATCGAAGTCAAAATTTACAAATTTTGACCAAGAAAAGTGAAATGGAAAGAACATTTTCAAATAGAGGAAGAACTATGTATACCGTACATCTAATGTACGCAGAATTAAGTATCCAACAAATTTTTATTTTGAATTAATAGGATGCTAATTTTTAATCAACAGAATGTTCATTTTCAATTACAGTGTTCATTCTGAAGTCTGTTCACATAGTGTTTATTTTGAAACAATCTAGTGCTTTTTTGAAGCATGTTCATTCTAAAACAACATAGAAGTATTGTACATTCGAGAGTACCATATAATTTGTCATACATATCCATTAAATTTGTTTGTAAAGTTTAGTTATACCAATTTTTTTAGTTTCCAAATTTGAAATACCATATTAGTTTTTTCCCCAAGTACTGGGTAAGCTTTAAAAAAAATTATAGCAAAGTTGAGTGTATAATTTGAAGAGGATTGTACCCATATAACTCAATGAAGTTTCTGTTTTGGCTTGAAGTTTTTCCTTTAATAAATTTTAAAAATTTCAAAACATTAGTACTCCATCTATCCTAATATTTTCCTCAAATTTGACATTTTTCGAGTGAAACTGGACGAACTGTAATCATCAATTGCTTTCAGTTTGTAATGTATATATAAAAAACAAAATACTTAAATCTTGAAAAAATATCATAAAAGCAGCTGAAGACGGTGTCGAGGTTATCGTCAGATCATTTTGCTTCTAATTTTAGTTTTATATATTTTTAACTTATAATTTTGATCCCGCCATTTTTTTATAGATTCCCTCTCTTTTCTTCTTCAGCAGCCTTGTTTCCACCCTTTTAGAAAAAAGAAAGGGAATAGAATATGAGAAATTAGAAAAAAGGGTCGAATCAAAATTAAAAATTAAAAATATATAAAGCTGTAATTAGGTCTATATTGATATGATTAGAAACTAACTTCAAGTACTTTTGTGAAATTTGTTCAAAGTTCAAGTGATTTTTTGAGAGAAAAAATAAAAATTAAATACCAAAATGTCATATACCTCAAAGTTCAATACTATTAATAAAATTAACTCAAAGAACATTAAGTTATAGCATGAACTTAAGATTATTAAATTTACTCTTGCTATTTTAGAACGGCCCGGTTCCATGGCCACTGGAATCCAGTGGCCACCTACGAAACTCCGTTCATAAAATTGATGATTTCTACCCTCCCTAAACCCCCCGGTAAACCCCCCCGCCAAGTCCCGACCCAAACTCATCACCCCACCTATGTCAATTGAACCTCGTAAGCATAAAGTCAAAAGTTTTGACTTTAAAGTCAATTATGCTTACGAGGTGCAATTGACGTAGGTGGGGTGATGAGTTTGGGTCGGGACTTGGCGGGGGGTTTACTGGGGGGATTAGGGGAGATAGGAATTATCAATTTTATGAACGGAGTTTCGTAGGGGGCAGTTGCTTCCGTGGCCACTGGATTCCAGTGACCATGGAACCGGGCCGATTTTAGAAATGGACATTTTAGTCATTCAATGAACCTTCATTAATTAGGACTACTTCTTGCCACGTTTTCCTTCTATCCGTTTCCCATTTTCCACTCTCATTAATTAGGTCTACTTTTTCCTGCTGAAACACAATTCAAATGCTCAGTCAACAGAAAATATAAAAGACTATTGTGACTAAATTTGACTAGAGAGTTGAGATGTTTATACATCAGAAAAAGATTAAAATAAGAGTAAATATTAAAAATATATTAAAATAAGAATTTTTTTATTCTCCAAATAGAAATTTAAATGCACTTACATCACCAATCATGACTATATACATTACCAAAAAAATATTGTAAAATACACATGTACAATGCCACATTACTACAGCGAACTCCTATTTAGAAAATAAAAACATGAAACTTTTATTTTTATTTATTAATAAGTTGATATTACAAAAAAAAGTTGATAGTAGAGGTTTATTTATCACTTCTCTTAAGAGTTTCTGAGAATACCTAAGAGCACTCGGTATACCTGTTACGCCGACCGGCGTTATGCCGGTTTTCACGCCCAGGGGGCGTTAAACACCGCCTCCCTGCGGCTTCATCCCGGCGTGATGCTCTCCGCGTCATTGTTTTGACGCAGCCTTCCCCTCCCCCTAATGGCTAATTTAGCCGTTGAAACCCAAAAAAAAATATTTTTTTTATAAATTTCAAACTCCCCCCTCCCATTCTCACACCTTCAATCTTCTTCAAACATTCTTTAATTTCAAACTCCCCCTCTCTTTTGAACATGAATCCTTCCGGCTTCGGCTTCTTTCCCGACAATCTCGAGCCTCACGAGTCCGCAATGTGGTATTTCCAAGAATACGGGAATCATTCGCTTTTTAGTTTAATGAATGTAATTTTTTAATTTTTTAATTTATTGTTGTTTCAATTTATTTAAATTTAATGAATGTATTTTTTTATTATCTGTGTTTCAATATAATTAAATAATAAATTAATTATATTTTATGAATTTAGTTTTAGAAGATGTATATTTAAAAATGTAAAACATGAAGGTTTGAAGCCCAGTTTGAAGCCTCGGGGCTTCAAACTCATTTCCAGTAAATCTGTGAGGTAAGTTAAAGCTGACGTGGCAGAGAGATAAATTTTGAAGCCCCAGTTTGAAGCCCCGGGGCTTCAAAAGTATTTCCAGTGCTATAAGATTATGTCTCCATGCTTTAAAAAAAGGAAAAAGAAAAGAAGAAAGAGCATGTGTCCATCCTTTTCTTTTCCCATTTTCCACAACTTAAAAACAGTGACAGTTTCAAAACCTGTTCAATCTGAAGAGTAATCATAAGCTCATAAGTTTGAAGATAAGCTGTTTCTTTAAGTCTCTTCCTACCCACCCTACCCTACCCTACCCCACAGGTATTTCTTCCCAAAAAATCTCCACTTTTTTATGCTCTCTGTTGAATTTTATGTTTCCACACAATCTTTTTGTCCAAATTGTTGTGCTTAGGTTGTTTTGTGATCAGTGTCCAAATCCTCTGTGATAGCCAATGTTTCCCCCCAACAACGTTAAATTCTTCTCAGTTCTGCGTGAATTTCAAGCTGTGTTCTTCAACTTGTTTGTTCTGTCTCCAAAGCCTGAATTCTATGAAGCAGTAGACAGAATATTGCGTAGGTTACCTTTTTGGATTCTAAACTTTCGTTCGTATTATTAGATATTCTGCTGATCAAGTACCATAAATGGGAAATATATTGTGTGGGTTGCTGAAATTTAATTTCAATATTGGAAATTAATTATGGAATCTTTGAGTTTTGAGTTTTTTTTTTCTGCCCTTTCATTTTCTTGGCATATCACTAAACCTGCAGCTGATTAGACAGGGTTTCCTAGTTCCGGATTTCGCTGAGGATAAAAACTTAAATAGGAACGTGTGGAGATTTAGGATTAGAGTAGTTGGGTAGCCTGTGAGCGGTTTGTTGGGATTCTTCTGGGTTTGTTGTTGTATATTTCTTCGGTCTTGTTTGGGTTGGCTTCCACTTCCCGGGAACGGTTTGGATTCAGAAACCCGGGAGTTGGGAATCCAATGTTTTTTGTCAATTTGTTCAAATTGGATGTGCATCACTTGCCTCCAAACACATGCAGGGTGATGAGTGTTTCATAAGAATTACATGAATCCCCCCAATCCGAAACATGGTTTTGTCAAATTCCGAATAGTTCACTCTTGATCACTAAATCTTGTGGTTCTAAGGTCAAAGAGGCTATGGCTTTCAAAGGTCAAAAGGAAAAACTCAGTGCATTCCTCGAGGTAAATGATAGTGTATTAAGTATCTTGTTAAGGCTTCGTTTGGTAGCCTTTGCTGGCTCTATAAGAATAATAAGCTTGTGACTTTACTTCCATGGCTCACATTGATGTTACCAAACACTTTTCCTTCCAGAAAGTTCACCCAGATAACTCTTACCAAACGGACACTAAATTTCTTTCGTTTTTCCTCATTATCCTTGTTCAGATTGCTAGTACAGAGAAACAATTGTTAGCATCAATCTATTCCAAGGGTCTTTTGCATAAAGATGTAAAAGAGCTTTACCATAAAGCCCGTTCTAGCTACGAGAACATCATTTTGAATGATCATGAAGGGGAGGGGCTTCAAGAAGTCGAGTACTCATTATGGAAGCTTCATTATAAGCACATTGATGAGTACCGTAAACAAATACGCCGATACAATACAGACAGAAGAAAAAGTGGAGCTTCTGGGGAGGATACCGGCAATGTATATATGGATGGGTTCAAGTCATTTCTATACGAAGCTACTCTTTTTTACATGGATTTAGTAAGAAGACTTAGAAACAAATGTGGGCTTCCTGAGGAGCTCTTGCTGCATAAGAAGAGGGGAAAATCATCTTCTTGGACAGAACGTGTGAAGTTCCCTCATTGTCAATATGCATGCCATAGGTTTTTGGTTTGTCTTGGTGATCTAGCTAGATACAACGAGCTTTGCAAGAAAGGTCACGAAGCTCGTGATTGGTCAGTTTCAGCAGCATATTATCTCGAAGCATCGTGTGTATGGCCAGATAGTGGAAACCCCCATAATCAGGTAGGTGCCATGATATAGTATTTTTTCGACTTTTGAAAAAAATGCAAAACCAAAAATCAAACCAAATAGCTAAAGCTGGTTTCCGGACATTTTTTGTTAGTTTCAGTCGGATTTGGTCATACCATTTTAGGGATATTGATAAAAGAAATGTAAATTCGTTTGCAGCTCGCGCTATTGGCTACATACATTGATGATCCTTTCCTTGCGTTGTATCACTCTGTCAGGAGTTTGGCCGTGAAGGAACCTTTTCCTGATGCCTGGAACAACCTTATGCTGCTCTTTGAGGAGGTAAGTTAGGTAGCAGTTAATTGATTAGATCCAATCTTTTAGTGTGTTTTTTTACCATTGTAAATCAGAGCAATCATCAATGAATTCCACTATATGTTCTCGACATTGCAGAACAGGTCAATTCACATCCATTCCCTTTCGAGGGAGGCACACCTCGATTTACTCAAACCATGTGAAAAAACATTCTTGGATGCTACATCATGTGAAAGTAAAGCCTCTTCAAGTAACAATAAATTGGAAGGCATTGCTGGTGTTTCTTCTGAAATGTCTGATATATGGCCCTTGTTTGTCAGACTGATAAGTTTCTTTCTAATGAAATCCGGGTATGTTCTTCTGTTAAAACTTAGGATTCCATCCTTAAGGATCAACTTTGTGTTTTGCACTTTAGAGGATTTTCATCAGAGGATTTTCCTAAAATCCTTTGTGTATTGCAGTTTATTAGAGGATTTTCCTCACACCCTTGCTTCTCTGGTGAGACGATTAGAAGCTTTGATGGCATTAGGTGAAGAAGAACTAAAGGGAACACTTGAATCCTACCAGTCTTTGGATCCATCCGAAAAGGGCCCAAACCGCGCCTTACAACTTGTTACCATTCTCATCTTCACCATCCATTGCCTTACCAAAAGCCAAAAAGGACACAAACAGAAAGAAGATGGCAACTCGGGGTGTCATTTGACTGAACTAGCACTGTCTGCCATTTTCATTTGTGTTGGGCGCATTGTTGACCGATGTTTGACCAGGGGGGTTTTCAAGGAATGCTGCCCTCTCCTACCCGCCGTGCTGGTGTTTGTCGAATGGTTAGTGAACACACTTGGGAGAGCCGAAGGTCTCACAAAGGACGAAAGGGTCATGAGTGCCATGGCATACTTTTTTGACACCTTTGTTGATCTTCTTAACCGACTCAATCTTGGTGCAGAAGAAGTTGCCTCAGACAACACCGCTGTTTGGGAGGACCACGAGCTGTTGGGGTTTGATCCAATGGCCCACGCGCACGCGGGCTTAGATTTCACAAGTAAAATGGGGCACGTGGGGGATGGTAAATTGAGGTCTCGACGCATATTTCTTGCTGCAACTAGAATTGCAAGCACACAAGGTGACTTGAGTCATTGGATTGTGTATGATAAGTTACAAAAAAGATTTCGCAGAAGCACCCAAAGTGAAAACCATCATGTTTCTAACACCACAGAGGAGGAGGAGGAGGAGGAGGAGGAGGAGGAAGTTATTCTATTCGAGCCACCCATTGGAAGAGGGAACGACACGAAGAAAGAGGAAAAATCCTCTCCTGTAGTGGATCAACATGAAAGAGAGAGTGAAACTTTCAGTTTCTACCCGGAAACCCCCGAAACGAGTAAATTCTATTTTGACAATCCCTTGAGGCCGCGGGTGCCCAACAGTGGGCCCCCGTCACTCAAGGGATGGGTCGTTGGTGGAGAAAGCCCACATCCACATTTCAGCCCAGAGGCCATCAACGTTCTTTCTCTCGACGAACTGGGATACCCCAAAGTTGATTCTTCCTCTTCTTCTCCACGCGTCTCTATTGATGTTCTCGATGCCCCTCCTCCTCCTTATGTAAGTCCACCACCTTCTGCCCCATTGTTGCCGGAACAAGGAGGGGATGGTATTCTTGGAGCCCCACCAATGAGAGGATACACGTACGCAACCCGGGGCCCATTTGAGTACGCGGGAGGGTATTCGCCGCCACAAGGAGGGATGATGAGCTCTTCTGAGTGGCTGTATCATTATAGGAACAGGCAGGAGTGCGACCGCGCCATGTGGGACCCACACGTGACGAACATTAGGAGGCTAGATGGCGACCCTTTGTGCCAGTGGGGGTACCCTTTGATTTCGACGCCGGGAACGTTACTATATTTGGACAGCCCAATTGTCCCGGCGGGAAGGGGCGATACCGGACGAGACGATAAGGTCCTGTTTGGATGGCAAAGAGCAGAGGAACCTGCATTGGTGCTGCAGTATCTGAAAGAGAGAGAAGTAGGAGGATTTGTGCAACCAGGATCTCAGTTTAGAGGTCCAACTTTTATGGGAAACTGACCTTATTGTGTAACCCTCTGTCCCATAAAAAATAATCCACTTTGACGAATGTATAACTTGTTAATTTTAGTAAAGTACATCTCTTGTAAAGCACTAAATATATTATTATACTTATATTCACTGCACTATTTACTTATTTGGTGTGTAGCATGGGCTAGAGTGGTAACTTTTTATTGGTTGTATAGAGATTAAATATGTATAGTAATTTATTAGATTGAGATGTTTAAGTAATTATTTTAATGAAAAGTTTAGTTAGCCTTTTGGAATACTTACGGTACTTTATTTACAAAATTAAGAATTTTTACCTCCTTAACCCTCATCTTAGCCACCCTCCTCTCACGCTGATTTGTTACAGGATGTATTTGTAGTAAATTGTTGTGGGAGAGAGGGGGGCAGAGGGGATTAGAGTGAGGGTAGAGGGTTTGGAGTGGGGGGTTAGAACGTAGGAATCATAAATTTTTCAAATATTCGTATTCAAATAAATATATACTAGTACTCCATGTTTAATTTTTGTTCTTCAATTTTTGTAAATATAAGTAATGGTGTACCTTTAGAATTAAATAAAATTATCGAATTCAATACCAATCTTACCAGGTTATTAGAAAAGTATGGGGTATTAAAAATATCTATAGGCCATTTATTCTTTAAAGGTTCACTAAGAATTACAAGTACAAATACTCCGCAAATTATATAAGCATAATAAAACACAATTCGAATTTGTATTTGATTAAATGGAATACGAATTATCCTTTTCGAATACGAATGCCGAACCGAATGAAAAATATTTGATTTGCATACACCCCCAAGTGTTATGCTCATTTTGCTTTTAAAATGATCATTTTTATAATTTTGATGTGTAACGATCATGTTACATCCAAATGTATATCCACTCAAACCCGTCTTTATATTTTCTTTGTACGGAAAAAAAACAAAAAAAACTACATATATATACTCATAAAATTCTTCTAAGCAGCTATTGGATAGCATTTGTACCTTCCTCTACTTGGAGTCAAATCTCAAACTCCCAACTCATATAGGCATAGCATTGGAGGGATTTCAAATTAGGATAGGAAAAACCAGCAAGCCTAGTTGAGAGGAAAAATGAATGCAAAATAAACATTAGCCAAAACTGGAATATTTTGCGAATGTTTCTCGGAGAAAAGAGAAAGCTTTGTGATTGTTCCTAAACCCACAAAAGAGCACCAAAACTGGTTTCAATATTGCACCAAACCCACCGTCCCGAAGGACACCATATCTGTAAAACACGGTACGAAAAACAAATATCAAAATAATACGAGCAAAACAACAAAATTTCAAGCAATTCAAGCATCATGTTAAAGAACTTACGTAGGATCTCGTTCCATCTAAGTTAAAAAGGTAAAGGTTAAAAAAAATTAACTGGCTTAGTCTTTTTTTAATACCATCTCGTTCCATCTACGTAGGATGTCATTGCTGTTGTGTTGACAACAATTTTGTGTGCCTTTGCATGTTCTGCCAACAGCTTGCTCTATGGATTGGCCGAGCTCATGGACTCTTTTCCTGTTAGAACTACAACAATTTTCATGGATTAGTAACAAGTTTTACAAAAGTACATCTCAGACCTACAAGAAATGCAGCGAAGTCTTTCCTAATATTTTTCAGTTTTATGGCATACCTCATACGAGTACGAAATATAAGCAACTGATAAAATATAAAAATTTCAAAGCTGCCTTTTGCAATACTAAGAGCATCAAGTAGTCTTCATATTTTCACAATATGGCCACATTATATACTTGGTATGCGTCTATTCTGTCTAAGACTCTTAGCTATGTGTCTTTCTTTCCATTCGTGAATTTGTAAGTCTGTCACTACATTTTTCATAATAAGAAAGAATGTTTTCTTATCATACATACTGGTATTTCCAAGGTTTTTGATAGCATCAAGCTCAATGAAGATCTATTGAAAACAGATGGGTCAAGAATAAGAAACTTAAGGGTATTTTCCAATTTGTAGATGCTTATGATGCGGGAGAATCTGATTTACGTCTTTGCACATTAATTTTGGCTGAAGACAAATCATTGAAATTGATCGTAAGTTACAATGCTGGCTTGATATTAAATGTGGGATGTAGTTGCTTGAATTTTGATAGAAATTTCTTGTATCTTGGATGCAGATGGATGGCCTAGCAGTTTTGGGGCAGCAACGAGCCAACGACGTGGATTTTTTTCATGATTCTAAAATTATTTAATGTGAAAATGATAAAGTAATGTGCATTGATGTGAATCATACTCTCCAGCATCATAATTCATAAGCATTTAAAAGTTGGAGAATACCCTCAAATTCGTTATTCTTGACCATTTGTTCTCTCAAGATCTTCATTGAGCTTGAAAAGCTTGAGACTATCAAAAACCTTGGAGCTGGTCAATCTGCATAGTCCTATTATAAAAAATATAGTGACAACCTTACAGATTCACCAACAGAAAGAAAGACACACACCTTAGATGCATACAGACTAACAATAACAGAACATGGAGCAACCATAACTCAATAAAGTGACTTTCTTCTATCTTCGACTAAGGGCCTTTGAAGGGTATCCAAAAGTGATCCCAACTTATTAATCCCTAAGTTTTCCATCAATCCCTTCACATGCTTTTCATATTTCCGTATGGTCTGCTCCACACGAAAGTGAAAGACATGGTTGAAAGTTAGTACCTGCCAATAAAAGAAGACGATGGTCACTCTAGGCTCTAGCACTACAAATTACCTTCTCCAAAATGGAGGGAGATATCTTAGAAAATGCTGCCTTAAAATATCTTGCTTTGATGATAGATAGGTGGGCCAGAACTCTCCCAAGATGATGTATTCTTCTCTTCCAAAGCAATCAATCCAAATTCATTCATCTGTTTAAAGGAAGTACATGGAAAAAACCTAAGACTAGTTGAAATCAACAAATCGTTGGACATAAGTATATAAAATTGTAAATAGAGTCATAGAGCCATGAAGATTGTCTACAGAAATAGTGACAAAGATATTATTGACAACAAATAAATCCTTGATATGACTTCAAGAGAATATATTAGAAACAAAGTGATTGCATTTTGATATAAGGATTACCATGTCATTAAATGCAAACTTTAACCAATTAATGATACGAGATATAGAGTTTGTGGTGTTTTAAAAGTACCCTTTCAAAAGAAACCTCATTTAAAGTAAAGCAAAATACGATATGAATTAAATGGAGTGCAAAAAAACATATTGAATTAAAAATTTATGCTACATCAAACAGCACAAAATATGCACAAATACCCCCCCCCCTTCAAATCTTGTTCTTAAAATTCCTAAGGTTTCAAAACGTTGCACAAACAACCCCTTCGACTACTTTCCGTTCATTTTTCCGGCGAAGAGGGGGCATTGATGCCTGATTTTCAAACCACAGACACCTATATCTTATTTTCTATTCATTTTAATTTTTTTAAAAATTATTCTTTATAATGTTTTCAAAAATCAAAACCGTTTGTGCTTGAAATAAAATATATGGAATAAATGAGATGAAAAAATTAACATATACTTGGTTGATATTGACTAAAACATTTTCATTTTTTTGTTTTCTAAAATAAAAAGAAAAACTTTTTTTAGACGTTTAAAAATAAAAATGAGGAATAGGAAATGAAAAGAAAATAAAAGAAAAACCGAATAGAAAAATGAAATGAAAAATAAAAAGATACAAAAACACTCTTATAGAAAAAAGAAAATGTAGACATGTAGTGCACTGATAAGGTTCTTTTCAAGATGTCCAAAAAAGCTAATTTCTTTAGGTGTTGCAAAGAGGCTATTCTTTTTATTTTTAAAAATAAAAAGTTTTTTTTAATTTTTTTTTGAATTTGGTAGCAGTCTTTTTGAAAGAATGTTTATCTAAAAAATGTATAAATTTTTTAAACGTCCTCAAAAAAACCTTATCTGCTCCTACGTTTTACCTTTTCAATTAGAGTGTTTTTGTATCTTTTCATTTTTCATTTCCTTTTTCCATTTGTTTCTCTTTTATTTTATTTCCTTTTTTCTTTTTATTTTGGAAAACAAAAAATGATTTTTTAAACATGAAACAGATAAAGTATATGATAATTTATTTTTATTTCAGTTACTCCCTCCGTCCTAGAACAATCTTCTCGTTTCGGTTTACGAGGTTTGAGTGAAGTTATTTTCAATTCAATTTATATGATTGGAGGTGTAAAATTAAAAGATAGAAATTATATATTTAAAAACTACCTCTAAAGCTCTACAAAACAAGAGGTGACACAATTATATTATTTTATCAAATGAGTAACGAAAATAGGTAAAGAAAGTGATTAAAGTTTAACCATGTGAATAGTAACTGGAAAAAAGTGTTAGGAGAGAGGGAGTATTTTTTGTTATAAACACAAACAATTTTGAAATTTTAAAAGACTATAAAGAATTTTTTTGAGAAAATGAATTTAAAAAGTAAATCCCTTCAAAAAATGAATGAAAAACATGATAGTGACTCTCATAAGTCATTCCCCATGTAGTTTGGAAATTAAGCACCAATGCCCCCCTCCTAGCTGGAAAAGTGAACGGAAAATAGATTGAGGGAGTGCCTGTGCAACATTTTGAAACCATAGGGATTTTAAAAATAAGTTTTGAAAACCGAGGTATTGTTGCCTATTTTCCAAACAACGAGAACACTGGAGCTATTTGGCCGTTTTAGTTTGGGTATTGTTAAGATTCTTTGTAATTGATCACTCCTCAACATTTGATATAATTAGGGGAACCATAAAGTGAGTACTTATTGGTACATACCGTATCAAAGAAAAGCATAAACTCCATCATCATTGTCATCTCCATGTAAGATCAAAAGCTGATGGAGAACATGATATATATCCTTCACAAACGGCTTAGAATCATCACCAGAAACAAATTCCTGAACCAAACCATTCACCTCAATGAGACTGCACCCTGGTGTTTTCTTCATCGTCTTCCTCCTCATCAATCTCCTCGTGGTGGAGACACAATCCCACTTCCCCATATCCGCATATACATTTGCCAGAAGAACGTAGTTCCCACTATCATCCGGTTCAAGCTCCACCAGATGTTCCGCTGCAACCACTGCTGTCTCGACATCCCGAGCACTTCTGCAAGAACTCAACACGGAACCCCATATTGCAGAGTCTGCCTTCATCGGCATCCGGTTTATGATTTCAAGAGCACGTTTTTGGTTCCCCGTTCGTGCAAGTAGATCGACCAAACAGCCATAATGTTCAATTTCTGGTGTGATGTTGTGATCGTCTCTCATCGAATCAAAATACCCCAATCCCTCGTCCACAAGCCCAGCATGCCCACAGGCTGATAAGAGCCCAACGAATGTGATCTCGTTTGGTGTAACATCCATTTGTTTGAACAGCTCAATGGCCTCGTGTGCCCTTCCATGATTTGCCAGCCCCACAATCATCGTGCTCCATGAGATTACATCCCGGCTTGATGACTTCATCCGGTCAAACACCTCCAGGGCTCTGTCCACGTTCCCGCATTTGGCGTACATTTCCATCAATGCATTGCACACACATGTATTCTTCAAGAAACCTTTCTTTGCTGCATAAAAGTGAATCCATTCTCCAACCTCCAGCGCCCCCAGGTATGCACAGCTCGGCAAGACCGCAACTAAGCTGACCCAATCTGGCTCCAGCCCGCCAACCATCTGCATTCTTCTGAAAACGTCTAATGCATCTCCGTACCGTCCAGTCTTAGTGTAACCTGAAATCATGGCCGTCCAAGAAACAATGCTCTTCTCAGGCATCTCTTCGAACAACGCTTTTGCCCTCTTGACTTTGCCCAACTTTATGTACCCGGAAATGAGACTGTTCCAAGAAATCACATCTCTCACGGTCATTTCATCAAACAGCTTCTGTGCATCATTTATGTTGTATTCACCACCACACTTAACGTACATGTCTAGCAATGAATTTTGAATCACGTGATTGGACTCCAGTCCAAGTTCAAAAACATGTCCATGCAATTGTTTGCCAGTATGAGCGTGAGTAAAACCACCACATGACCTAATAACAAATGGGTATGTATATGCATCTGGAAAGATAGACTCCTCACTTTTGGTTGTTTGTCTCCTCATCAGCATCTGGGTGTAAGCATGTATGCAGGACACATACATCTTCTTATACGTGTAGGCTCGGATCATAGAATTGAACAGAAAAGTGTTTGGCTCTTCAACTTGTTTGAATAGCAAACGAGCATATTCTATATCTCCAATTTTATTGCAAAAGTCTATCATTTTTACCACCAAAAAGTTGCTCTGTGTCAGTGAGAATTTCACCACTTGGGAGTGTATTTTCTTCATGGTAGCCATGTTCTTGCAGTTTCTCAATATTGGCACAAACATATCCTCTAATCCTTTGCGCGTCAAAATTCCTGCTTCGGTGGTGGCCATGATTTCTCTGAGGAATTGTACTTTAATCCTTTTCCTGTGATGTGGTTATTAACAATGTACTCGCTCCACCCCTTTTTATATGCGCTCTTCGCTTTGTAGGACATCCATAATTAATTGTTCATACGGAGGATTATTTTTCTCCTCTGCATAAATTCCAACTACTTAATTTAACTGCAAACCCACTTAAATCCCAAAAATTAACTGGGAAGGGTGTGCGTACGCAAACCTTACCCCTACGCCAACTACATGATTTCACATTTCCTAAACTTTGTGCAAAAATCAAATGCGAATATTAAATACGGACGGACAGTGCGTCCAAGATGCGGGGAGTATGTGACAAGAGTTGCAAAGATTGCTTTAAACTAAACTAAAACATACTCCGTCTAGGCCTACAACAACAACAACCCAGTTGAATCCCACAACAGTAGGGTCTGGGGAGGGTGTGTGTACGCAGACCTTGCCCTTACTCGGAAGTAGGGAGGCTGTTTCCAAGAGACCCCCGGCTCCACCTGCACAAAAATATGGAAGAGAACACAATATAGCACAGATAAGGCACCAAGTACAAGCAACAAGTACAAACAATAGCAAAAGATTCCCAACAAATACAACACACTACAAAACAAACTCTACAACACCGAGCTCCTATCCAGCTACTCTAATCCTAGTTCTCCAAAGGTTCCTATCTAGGGCCATATCCTCAGTCAGGTCGAGAAGTCCTAAATCCTGTCTTATCACCTCCTCCCAATTCTTCTTAGGTCTACCCCTTCCCCTACTTCCCCCGATAACTGTAATCCTCTCGCATCTCCGTACAGGGGCGTCAGCATCCCGCCGTCTCACATGGCCAAGCCACC